GCTGCTGGAGGTGCTGCTGGTGCTGGAGCTGCTGGAGGTGCTGCTGGTGCTGGAGCTGCTGGAGGTGCTGCTGGTGCTGGAGCTGCTGGAGGTGCTGCTCGTACTGGAGCTGCTGGAGGTGCTACTGGTGCTGGAGCTGCTGGAGGTGCTGCTGGTGCTGGAGCTGCTGGAGGTGCTGCTGGTGCTAGAGCTGCTGGAGGCGCTGTTGGTGCTGGTGCTGCTAGAGGTGCTGCTGGTGCTAGAGCTGCTGGAGCTGCTGTTTCTGGAGGCGATGTGCGGCCGCGGCCGTACTACGTTCCGCTCCTTCAGCAGGTTCTTTGTCTACCGCCTTCTCCTGGTCCTCCTCCTCCTTTACTGAGTCCACCGCCTGTCCAGTCACCGTCGAGGTTACAGCCGGCCTCTCCACTGCCTGGTCCTTCTCCTTACTCTGGACCGACTAGAGGTCTTACGGAGCGTCGTGAGCCTAAGTCGCGTCCTGTGTCGCCTGAGTCTCGTCCTGCGTCGCCAGAGTCTCGTTCTGAGTCGCCTGTCTGCACTGTTCGCGCTGGTCGTCGTGTTTCGTGTCCGCGTCCTCCTTCTGTCCCTGGCACTCACTCTATGACTCTGCGTCCTTCCACTTCTCCACAGTGTGTCCCTCTGCCGTCTCCTCCTGCGTCCTCTCTTCCTGACGGTCCAGACCCGGAGTCGGACTCCCTTCGTGCTGCTAGTCCAACTGTCACACGCTTTCTCGCCACTGCTGTCACTAACCCTTTGTTTGAGTCCACTGCTGCGTCTGCTCTCGTTGCTGAGCTTGTTGACTTTACTGCAGCCTGTCGCCTAGACTACGCCACTAGTCTTGTTGCTGAGTCTGCGTCTGCGTCTGTCTCTCCTCCGTCCGTCGGGGGTGAGTGTGCTCTTGGCACGGACGTTCTTGAGGACAGACAAGAGGAGTTTGAGTGCTTTGCCGCTGCTGTACCTCATCTCGTGTCCATGCTGCTTGCCCCTGAGGGAGACACGGATGCACCAGACATCCCGACCCCGCGCTCTTACGCAGAGGCGATAGAGGGTCCCTACTACACTCAGTGGCAGGCAGCCATGGACGCCGAGATGGCTTCCTGGAAGTCTACAGGCACCTACGTCGACGAGGTTCCCCCGCCTGGGGCGAACATCGTCAGTGGCATGTGGATCTTCAGGGTGAAGCGGCCGCCGGGTTCTCCGCCTGTCTTCAAGGCGCGTTACGTTGCACGTGGCTTCTGTCAGCGATAGGGGGTTGACTTCTTCCAGACCTTCTCCCCTACCCCGAAGATGACCACTCTTCGGGTACTGCTGCACGTCGCCGCTCACCGTGACTACGAGCTCCACTTGCTTGACTTCAGCACAGCCTTCCTACAGGGCAGCCTGCAGGAGGAGAGCTGGCTGCGCCGCCCACCTGGCTTCACTGGGTCGTTTCCTGCTAGTACCCAGTGGAGTCTCCGGCGGCCAGTCTACGGTCTCCGCCAGGCACCCCGTGAGTGGCACGACACACTGAGGACGACTCTTGCTGCTCTTGGTTTCGCTCCTTCCACTGCTGACCCTTCGCTGTTTTTACGCACTGACACCACTCTGCCGCCGCTCTACGTTCTCGTGTACGTAGACGACTTGGTCTTTGCTACTGCTGACACTGAGGCACTCGCCCACGTGAAGTCCGAGCTGCAGAAGAGACACACGTGCACAGACCTGGGTGAACTGACAAGTTATCTTGGCTTGCGGATCACCCGGGACAGAGCACATCGCACCATTACCTTGAGTCAGTCACACATGGTGCAGCAGGTCCTTCAGCGCTTCGGCTTCATGTACTCTTCGCCACAGTCCACTCCTCTGCCTACCGGTCACTCGCTCTCAGCTCCACCTTCGGACGAGTCCGTAGAGCCGAGTGGCCCGTATCCAGAGCTTGTGGGCTGCCTCATGTACCTGATGACTTGCACACGACCTGACCTCGCATACCCTCTCAGCCTTCTGGCTCGCTACGTGGCTCCCGGTAGGCACCGAAAGATGCACTGGGATGCTGCGAAGAGGGTGTTGCGCTACTTGTGCAGTACGTCGGGCATGGGGCTCGTGCTTGGAGGACGGGCTCGAGTTGTCCTCACTGGTCACGCAGACGCTTCCTGGGTTGACGACTTGGCTACGCAGCGGTCGTCACAGGGTTACACCTTCAGTCTTGGCTCCGGTTCTGTCTCTTGGCGGTCTACCCGCTCTTCTTCTGTTCTCAGCTCCAGTTGTGAGGCTGAGATCTACGCTGGGGCCATGGCTGCACAGGAGTTACGCTGGCTCACCTACCTGCTGACCGACTTGGGAGAGGCGCCTCGTTCTCCTCCAATTTTGTACGTCGACAACAAGGCAATGATTGCCTTGTGTCAGGAGCACAGACTGGAGCACAGAACGAAGCACATTGCTCTGCGCTACTTCCTTGCTCGAGAGTTGCAGCAGCGTGGCCAGCTTCGTCTTGCTTACGTGGCCTCTCAGGCCAACACTGCTTATGTTTTCACCAAGGTTCTTCAGCCTTGTGATCATCAACGTTTCTGTACTGTTCTAGGCCTTGTACCTACTGTGCCTCACTTGCTTACTTCTTGACTTTGCTTGTATTGTACTCTCTATACATATAGCTGCATGCTTACACTTGCTAGGTTGTGTTCACTGTATTGTTTGTTATCCTTTATATAACTCTGCATGTGAACTGGCCTTGTGGTCATTTGCTTGTGCTCAGATTGTGTGGTGATATTGTGATCCACCCTGAGCCAAGAGGCGATGCGGCAAGAGTGGGCGAGAGGGGAGGAGCAGAGGGGGCCGTGTCTGCAGCAGCGCGGGGAGAGGGCATGGGGATAGGGGCAGACGAAGCAGTGGCAACCGGTGGCGGCTGGTACTGCCCTTCCTGCACCAAAACCGGCGCTGCTGCTGCTGCTGCTGCGGGTGGTGCTGCTGAGGCAGTTGGAGGAGGAGGGGGGCGATCTGGGGCAGGAGATGCAGAAGCAGGACCCCAGCCACCGTAGCTATCTACGTTGCTGCTCGACGACCCCCAATCCGAAGCACCAACACCAGCATCAGCACCGGTAACAGCACCAGCACCAGTGCCAGCACCAGCACCGTCGCCAACACTGCTTCCCATGGCGCACAGGCGGAGCCAGCTGACCGCGGAGGTGGATGTCGATGACTCCATCATCGCCGATGGCTTCTTTGGCAACAACTGCCAGAAGCCATAATCCGACGAGGAGTAGATTTTCTAGGTAGAGATGCTAAACTTTGCAAAATGTAGCTAGATAAAAATGTCAGTGATGATGTTGTAGGTGTAAAGTTAGCATGCTCACGTTTAGTGTTAATTAGAGATGTTTTTTTTGTAATGAGTTCTCCACAACGTGAAAAGGTGCGCTTATAATAAGTACACCCACTAGAGGGGGCGCGCTTATAATCGAGTTCCGGCCATAAGCGCCATGCTCCAGATAGAAGCGCCGGCGCCCTTAATCGGACGGCGCCTATATCCGGGGCCATATGGTATTACACTTATAAAGCAGTTAAAACATATTCAGAACGATGAAAATCGCATTTTGACACCAGTAATGAAGTTTCCAGATATGATTTCAGTATGATGTTTAGAGAGTAAGTGGATTGAAATGTTAGACCTGAGTATATCTTATTGGAGTATGCCCGTTACAAGCACAAACCATCTTGGGACTGGTTGGTGGATGGGTGGGCGGGCGGGTGGGTGGGGCACGTCCCTGCCTGTTCGGAAAGCACAGATATCTCCCCCGGTCATTCTCCCCCTGTTCGGGAAGCACCACCACCACACACACACGCGCGCAGGGGGGCAGGAGCCACTGTGTGGGCGCCGTGAGTGTCGGCCTGCTCACTGGAATAACCCCCCGCTCCGCGTCTGGCATTTGGCAGTTCAAGTTTCAATTCAACCGTCCGCCGTACAGTCGCGCATACGCCCCCCCCCAGGAACCCCCACCCAGCCCAACCACTCTCTCCCCTGTTTCCCCTTGTACCCGTTTCTTTCCCCTTCGCTTCCCCCTCTACCCCCGACCTTCCAACTCTTCTCCCCCCTTCCCCCTTTCAGGTTCCGCCCTGCTTCCGCCTCAATTTCCACATCTCACTCTGTTCCATCTCCCCCGCTCCCGTTAGACTCTTGAAACTCCTGTACCTAACCTGTCGTTCCTCAGCTATTATGGGTAACCGCTAACTAAGTCGCGTTCGCGTTTAGGGATGTGCGCTGCCGTTTCGTGTTTTAAAATCTCGGGACGTCGCATTGCGTGCTGTTTATCTTGGTTGCTAGTATTACCCAGCTTGAGCTTTACCGTCTTAGAGTATCCCTGCATGCTACACACTTAGGGTTTCCATGCTTCAAGGGTCCGCACCGCAGCATGTTGCTCACTGCTACCTGACGCTGCGTTATTTTCCGTGAAGAGTGCGTTGATTGCAACGCTGTCTCGCTTAATTTATCTGCGCATGTATTATGCGCTCCAATCTCGCAGGAGCTTTCCTGCGTTTGAACCCGGCGGAAGATAATATATCATTTAGTGTGTATTTCATCCGGTTTCACTGATCTTGCTAGTCCCGCGGCGTTGTTCAATCAGGGAAGGCCCGTTGCGGAGTTTCCCCGTCGCGTCTTACGACATTGCCGCCACTCGCCTGACCCTAACAGCCTTGCAAATAATAACCTAACGCAGTTGTTATCCCCGCTACTGCTTTGCATCTGCGCGCTCGTTTGCGCGTCGTCTCTCTGTCCAAAGAGTGCCGAAGCGACAATCACATTTGGCCAGCAGCGGATTAAAAAAAAAAGGCGCCGGAGGACACGGCGGCAGAGAGGCAGAGACGGGGGGGAAGCGGTGAGAGAGGGAGGGAGGGAGGAAGGTGAGTCGTTATGCCGGAGGGAGTGGAGAACGGTGGATGCACAAGGATGGTTGACTGCGGCTCGTGAATAGGGTGCTCAACAGTAGGTCGTTAATCGGCGGGAGAAGGCAAGTTCAGTCGCGAATGGGTATCGTTCCATGGGGTTGCCTTCTCCCACAGCCGCCACGCACCCTTCTGGTAACTTCCTCGGCGATCAAGATAGCCTGACGTCAGAAGACGAAGCTGCTGACGAAAGCCTAAGTGGCCCTCCCACGCCGCCGTCGGTAGACGTTCCGGGTGTGATTCCTAGAGAGAGCGACAGCCGCAGCAGCACCGGCACCAGCACCAGCACCAGCACGAGCAGCGCAGCGGCTGCGGGAAGAAACGCAGCGGGGAAAATCGTAGCGGCAGCAGCAGCCGCAGCAGCAGGAGCAGCAGCAGCAGGAGCCATGGGTTCGACGGCGAAAGAGCTCCCGCGGGAGATGGCGACGAAAGACTCGTTACCCAAGCCAATCACAGCGGCGGACGACGTGAAGGAGGCGCCACACACGGTGATGATCCTGAAGCGGCCGTACGAGAACGTGCAGGACCAGTACAGCATGGGCAAGGAGCTGGGGCGCGGGCAGTACGGCGTGATCCGCGAGTGCAAGGACAAGATGACGGGCGTGCCGTTCGCGTGCAAGTCCATCAGCAAGACGAAGCTGAGCGGCACGCGCGAGGTGGAGGACGTGCAGAGGGAGATTAAAGTCATGGAGGTGCTGCGCGGACACTCCGCCGTGATCGAGCTCCACGCGACTTACGAAGACCAGAAGGTACGGCGGAGCAGACGGGGGAATGGGGGATAGGTGCGGAATGTACGGCGAAGGTACGGCGAGTGGAACGTGGAAGGGATAGTGTTGAGGCGGCTGAGCAGGGAATCGGGCTTGTTGATTTACCGTGAAGTCAAAGAGGCGTGTTGCTGGGAATAACAGGTAAGGTTATCAGCTGTGAGGGAGAAAGGAAAGTCTGTCAGAGCGTGTTGTCTTTCGCATACAGACTATCCGAATGCCATGGTTATATGCGACCCGATTCTTGACTCTACTCTACTCGAGTATTGAAGGCGAGAAGCGTAGAAAATGCTGTATCGAGCCACTTAAGGCTAAGGCTGGCGCTTGATTGCGCGCACTCGATCTCTCGGCTGTCCCCCCTCGCCCTGCGCGCAATTCGCGAGCCAGCCGAACTTAGCACTTAGCATCTCTCCCTCTCTGTTCTCCGCTCCTTCTCCCCCATTCTCCTCCCGTCCCTTCCACCCCCATTTCTCCCCCTGCTCCTCCTCCTCCCCCTCTCCCTTTTCTTCCACCGCGTGCAACCGTAGACGCTTGTAATGAAGTATGAAGACAATTGCTACTCAGCGCGTGTACCTGATGAGTTTATGACAGCGTTTCAAAGGTCCTTTCAACTCGTGATCCCATAGACGTTTTGCGGGAATTCTTTTTGGAAAGTAAGAAGAAAGGAAAAAAAAAAAAAAATCTTCCAGCCGTGCACCTGATTAAGAGCTGTGTGTGTGAGCGCATCATATAACAGCTCTCCCTCCCATCCTAATTCGGTGGAACACATTCTCTTCGCAGAAACCATCTCACTTCTTTTCCCCCGTTTCCGCCGTGCACCTGATCATGTAGCTGTGCGAGGCTGCCGTGTTTTGAGACTCCTTTAAACTCACGCTTTCCACGCAAGCCCCCGGCCAACCCACCCACCCGCCCCCCTCACCGTCCCTCTACCCCGTTCTTCATTCCTCCAACGCCCCCTGCGCGTGCACCTGATAATGGAGCTGTGCGAGGGTGGGGAGCTGTTCGAGCGCGTCAGAGCTCAACCCCCTCTCTCCCCCCACTTTTTCCCCCTTTCCACACAACCCCTTCTCCCCGTTCCCCCACTCCCCCCCTCCCCCCCCCAGCGCGTGCACCTGATAATGGAGCTGTGCGAGGGCGGGGAGCTGTTTGAGCGCATCAGCCAGCGGCACCACTACCCGGAGGACGAGGCGGCGCTGCTCACGCGCACGCTCATCTCCGTCGTGCAGCACTGCCAGGCGCACGGCCTCATGCACCGCGACCTCAAACCCGAGAATATCCTGCTCGTCAACCGCAAGTCGCACACGCAGGTCAAGGTCGTGGACTATGGGCTCGCCGCGTTTGTCAAGCCGGGTGAGTTTCCTGTGACTGGGGGAGGGGGGAAGGAGGAGCGAGGTGCGGCTGGTGCTGTCGCTGGTGCTGTCGCTGGTGCAGGTGCTTGTGAGGCGCAAGTCGCACACTCAGGTCAAGGTCATGGGGATTGTGGGTATGCCGCGTTTGTGAAGCCGGGTGAGAATGCTGTGGGTAGAGATGGTGCTTGGGCCCGTGCTGTTGCTGCTGCAGTTTTGAGACGTCTCAAAACGCTGCGTTTGTGAAGCCGGGTGAGAATGCTGTGGGTAGAGATGGTGCTTGGGCCCGTGCTGTTGCTGCTGCAGTTTTGAGACGTCTCAAAACGCCGCGTTTGTGAAGCCAGGTGAGAATGCTGTGGGTAGAGATGGTGCTTGGGCCCGTGCTGTTGCTGCTGCATTTGCCTGCGCCTGTGCTTCCTGCGCTGGCCCTTGTGCTGCCTCTCCAGCAGTGTCCATATCTCCCCCCCTCACACCATTCCGCTCCCCTTCCTTCAACCCCTCTCGTGCCAATCCTGCTCCCAGTCTGACGATGCTGTCTTGCTGCTGTGAGCATTTTTATTGATCCGAAGCTGTGTCTAACAATGGTCCCTTTCCCCCACTCCGCGCAATCATCCTTAGCGCCCTTAATTTCTATCTCATTCTGCTCCATCGTGCATAGGCTGACACATGTCTGTGCGTCCAATCGGTTCAGCTCCGCCTCTTGCTTGCTTGGACACATGTCTGTGCGTCCAATCGTCACTCCTCTTCTCCCTCCGCCTCTTGCTTGAGTTACTCTGCATCCTCCCCCTTTCCCTCTCTCCCCTTCTCTCCTCTCTCCCCCCCTCCTCTCCCCTTCCCCTCTTCTCTCCCTTCTCTCCCCACCTCGCCCCTCTCTCCCCACCTCGCCCCTCTCTCCTCTCCCCCACCGTCTCCCTTACCCCGTCGCCCCTCCTCCACCCCAGGCGGCAAGCTAACAACAATGGCGGGCAGCGCCTACTACATCGCCCCCGAGGTGCTGAACAACAACTACGGAATGGAGGCGGACATGTGGAGCGTGGGCGTCATCCTCTACATCCTACTCTGCGGGCTGCCGCCCTTCTGGGCGGAGAAGGAGGAGGGCATATTCGAGGCGATCAAGACGGGCAAGGTGGACGTGTTCAGCGGCGGGTGGGAGAGCGTGTCCATGGATGCTAAAGACCTCGTGCTCCGGATGCTCACCCGGGACCCGCAGAAGCGCATCACGCCAGAAAAGGCTCTTGGTGAGTGGACGGTTTGCTTTGCGGGTGTTTTTTTTGGAGGGGATGGGGGGAAAGGGGGTGGAGTAGGGGTGGGTGGTTGTATTTCGCGTGGCTTCTGGTATTGAGGAGTCTCTCCGGAGGGAGGGTGGTGAGAGCGTGTCCATGGATGCCAAGGACCTCGTGCTACGCATGCTTACGAGTGACCCCCAGAAACGTATTACCCCTGAGAAGGCGCTTGGTGAGTGGAGGAAGTTTTATGGGTGGGGATGTGTGAGGGTTGGGGGAAGGATGGGGAAGGGGAGGAAAGGGGTGGGGGGTTGTACGTTTCTCGGCTTCTGGTATTGAAGGGCCTCTCTGGTGGGGTGGTGGGAGAGCCTGTCCATCCATGGACGCTAAGGACCTCGTGCTCCGCATGCTCCCCGGGGACCCACAGAAGCGGATAACGCCAGAGAAGGCTCTCCGTGAGTGGAGGGCTGGCAGAGGTTTTACAGGTGTCGGGGAGGAGAAGGGAGAAGGGGAGGGGGGGGGGGGGGGCACGTTTTGCTACTGCTCTGCTACTGCTGCTACTGCTGCTGCCTGTGTCTGCACTCTCTTCTCCCTCCCAACCCCCCTACCCTTTCCTACCCCCCTTCTTCGCTTCCTGCCTTTTACTCTTCGTTCCCTCCAATCCTAATTCATCACCGCTCACCTTCCCCACCTGTCCGCTCCCCCACGTTCCTCCTTGTGACGTGTTGTCTCCCGCTTCCCCCTTTACGCCCCCGCCGCAACCCAACGTCTGTCACTTTCTCCTTGTCCCCCTTCCTCTCCCCCTACCCACTTCCCCCACTCCTCGCTCCCCCCTCTCCCCTGCGCCCGCCAGCGCACCGGTGGATCAAGCAGCACTGCAGCAACGCGGCGGACCATCTCCCCGGGCTGCCCGCGAAGCCAGTGACGGCGGACTCGCGCGCGCACCGCAAGGTGGACTCTCCGCGCATCCCCCTGCCCGACGGGGACCGCCGGGGCAGCAGCAGCAGCCGCAACATCGCCAGCAGCAGCGCCAGCCGCAGCGGGGGCGCAGGCGGGTACAGGTACGGGAAGGACGGGGATTTGGCGACGGTGCTAGCTAGCGCGGATCTGGCGGCGGTGGCGGACGCTGTAGCGGCGATCCGCGCGAGTGGCGCGGGGGAGGAGCGGAAGGAGGAGCTAGCCGCGCTGCTGAAGCTGCAGGCGAAGCTGAAGGCGAAGGAGGGCGCGGGGGGGGACGGGGGGGCGGCTGGCGGGAGCAGCAGCAGCAGCAGGAGACCGGAATCCGCGTCTGCTGCATCTTCCAGGCGAAGTGCGAGGGACGTGGAGAGAGCTTTAGCGGGTGCGTTGGCTGCTAAGGGCGGCGGGGGGAGCAGTGACAGGGCGAGGCGAAGCAGTTCTAACATGAGCCGCACTAAGACTGCTGATACTGGCGCGTTGTTGGCTGCTCTTGCGGATCTGCAAGACGGCGGAGGCGGAGGAGGAGGCGGAGGGGAGAGGGGCGGGGGGAGGCACAGGAGGACTGGGTCCCGTGGGACGGATGCTGGGGAGGATGAGGAGGAGCGGAAGCGGCACAGGGACCGGGACCGGGATGGGGGAAAGGGCGGGAAGAAGCAGGATGACAGCGTGAAGGAGATGTTTGCAGCCGCTAAGGACGCGCTCAGGGGCAAGGAGAAGGACGGAGGGGGCGGGAAGGAGGACAAAGAACGGCTGGCGAAGCTTCTGGCGAAGATGGAGGAGGTTAAGGCGTGGGAGAAGGATCGCACGGGTGCACGTCCGTCGTCGTCTGCTTCCCGGAGCAGCAGGCGGGGGGATGACGGGGATGAGAAGGGCGGGAGGGACAGAGATGGTGCTGCGTCGAGCCGGTTTCCGAGGGATTCGAGCACGTCTAGTAGGAGCAGCAACGCTGATAGGCTGTCGCGGTATAGGTCGGATGCGGCGAGCATGCTGGGTGCTCTAGAGGAGGAGACGGGCAAGGATGACGCTTCGTCGCAGAGTGGCAGAGGGAGAGACCGAGACAGGTACAGGGATAGGGATCGGGATCGGGATAAGGATAGGGACTGGGACAGGAGCAGGGAGAGGGACCGGTATAGGGATAGGGACCGGGACAGGGGGAGGGATTGGGACAGGGATAGGGATAGGGATAGGGGTCGGGGGGACCGGGATTGGGACCGGGATAGGAGCTGGGACAGGGAGGGAGATAGGGACAGGGATCGGGACAGGTACAGGCGGGATAGGGACAGGGACGAGGATTTGGAGAAGGGCGTGGATGGGTTGAAGGGGAAGGATTTGGATGGATCGAGGGAGCGGGGCAGTAGGGAGAGGGACCGGGAGCGGTATAGGGATAGGGACAGGGACTGGGACAGGGACAGGGATGGGTATAGGGACCGGGATCGGGACCGGTACCGGGATAGAGACGGCAGGTATGGGTATAAGGATGATTATGAGAGTGATAAAGACAGGGACAGTGACAGTGACCGGGAGTATGGGCGTGACAGGGACAGGTATAGAGACAGAGACAGGTATAGGGATAGGGATAGGGACAGGTACAGGGATCGGGACTGGGATAGGGACCGGGACAGGGACTGGGACAGGAGGGACAGGGACCGCGATTGGGATCCGCGGGACAGGGATCGTTATAGGGATCGGGATCGGGACTGGGATAGGGACAGGGAGAGGTATCGGGATAGGGATCGGGGAGACAGGGATTGGGACAGGGACCGCGACAGGCCGAGGTATCGAGATAGGGATGATTGGGACAGGGAGCGGGAGAGAGGGGGGTATGATTCTGATGAGAAGGAGCGAGACCGGAGAGATGGTGACAGGTCAAGGGATCGAGACAGGGATCGGGGAAAGGATGAGAAGGATCGGGGGAAGGACAAGGTGCCGACAACGCCAGGGTCTTTGCGAAGAGACAAGGCGGATAGTAGCAGCAAGAGCAAGAAGAGCAGCGGCGGGGGGGGGATAATAAGGCACAAGTCGGCGGATATTTCTAAGATGTTGAACGTTGGGGGGGATGATGGTGATGGGGGTGGGCGGAAGGGCAGGGGCGGGAGGGATACTGACAGCCTTGCAGGGGGGATTGGGAAGTCGGGAGGAGGTGGGGGAAGAAGCAGTGGACGTAAGATGGAGAGATCTGCCAGCAATCAGTCTCAGCTGCTGCTAGGCCAGCAGTCGGCAGAAGGAAGAGGCTCGGACGGCGGCAGGTCCGGCGGCGCCGCTCGACGAGGCTTGGACCGATCCAAATCCCCGGACGGGAAGGGGAGGTCCGGTAAGGATGGGCACGGGCGGAAATCGTCGATTGACTTGGAGGAGAGGGAGAGGGAGGAGGGGAAGAGATCGCCGAGTGTGAAGGGAAAGGATGACAAGGAGGAGGGGGTGGGAGGGAGAGGCAGCAGCAGCGGCGGCAGGAGGGCATCGAACCGGGATCTAGTGCGGCGTATGTCTCCTTCTTGGCGGTCAGATGAAGACTCTGTGTCGTCCCCCTCGCGCCCCCCCACGGGGTCTCGCCTCAGGGGAAGCGGCAGCAGCAGTAGGCGGCAGATGGAGAGCCCGTCAGGCTCGGGTGGGTCTGGTCGGGAACGAAGCGGCGGCGCAGGCTCGGGACGGTCGTTGCAGGTGCTGGAGGAGTCAGATGCGGAGGGAGGGGGGTGGACTAGTGGGAAGAACGCGGGGGAGTCGCCGGGATCGGGAAAGGAGAAGAAGGGTGGAGGGGACGAGGCGAAGGGTGAGGGTGGAGGAGGGGGAAAGGAGGCAGGGGATGAGGAGGGTGGTGGGGGGAAGGTGACAGCGAATGGTGTGGCGGAGGAGGGGGAGGCAGGGGAAGGAGGGGGGGATGCGGAAGTGGCAGGTGGGGAGGGCAAGACAGGGGAGGCAGTGGCAGAAGGGGTGAACGGCACACATGGCAAGGAGAAGGAGAGAGAGAGGGAGAGAGGGGGGGAGGGGGACTACCAACGAACAGACAGCAGAAGCTCTAGAACTGGATCGTACAGTCGAGACCGGGACAGAGACAGGGACAGGGATAGGTCATCGGGGTACGGTCACACAGCCAGTGGTAGGGGGGGTATTCCTAAGTCTCCAAGGCAGGGTGGTGGTGCAGGTGTTCCGCTGCGCTCCCCCAAGCGCGGCGGGCGGGATGGGGAGGACGGGGATGACAGTGCGCTGTCTAGGAACAAGTCGGTGAGTGCCTCGTGGCTTGAAGCAGAAGAGGTGAAGCGGGGCGAGGGTGGCGGGCATGAGCGGGGCGAGAGGGACGGCCGGAGGGAGCGGGGCGGGAGGCGGGGAGAGGACGGCGGGGAGTTTGGAGGGTTTGGTGGAGGGGGGAGGGAGAGGGGCAGTGGATGGGATGATGACGATCGGAGCGACAGAAGCAGGGAGAGGAACAGGGACCGGGACCGGGATCGGTACAGGGAGCGCGATCGTGACAAGGACTGGTTGCGGGAGAAAGACGGGAGGAGGGAGAGCGGTGGCGGCAGTGGTATGAGCAGCAGCAGCAGCCGGCGTGGGTCAGAGGCTGGGGGCAGTTCAGCCCTGCGGGGTCATAGGCAGAAGTCTCAAGACCTGTCGCTACTGGTGCCGCAGGCGAGGGAGGGAGAGGGCGGCGCAGGTTCAGGAAGGAGAGACACGCGGAGCAGGGGAGGCGGTGGGGAGGAGTCGGAGCGGGAGAGTGAGTGGGAGCGGGAGAGGGAAGGGGAGAGAGGGGGCGGCAGGCACAAGGAGAGGGAGAGGCATCGTGGGAGGGAGCGGGATGGGGATGGGGACGGTGAGAGGAGGCGGTCAGGGAATGGGAGCAGCAAGGGCAGTGGGCTGTCGAGGCATAACTCTTCCGATGTGTCTGCACTCGTGCCTTAGCAGTGCCGCCATCCATGGAGGAGGGGCGGGGCGGGGTTACTTGACTCTCTCTGCATGGGGTGCGTGCATCGCACGGACTGCTTGAGTTATGTGCCGTCTGTTGTTGCACTGCTTGGCGTGCCCCTGGGCCTCCATGGCTCGCCGCTGCTAGATCCATGGCTACGACGACTGGACTTGCAACTGCACTGTGGATGGATGGATGGATCGGCGACTGGAAAAAGATGGGCACCTGTGACTGGACTGGCCGGCATGTGTCGACTCCTCTGCATCTGACACTGGATATCTCCTGGATTCTTACCGGTCACATCACATCCCTTACCTGCCTCTCTTTGCTTTGAACCTCCCCCCTTTACCTCCTGCACTCCCATCCTTTACCCTTGGCCTGTGCATTCTCTGGCTACTGTGTGACGTCATGTCAGGCATCAGCAAAAGAACCTGCATAGCAGCACCAGCTCAACACCTCACCACCTCCTCACCACCTCATCACCCTCCTCAGCCTTGCATTCACGGTTGCTAACTTCAGGTCCGGCAGTGTCTGGGCCTGCGTGGATTCCTGGGTCTCTACTTAGTTCCCACGGTTCTCTATTGTAGATGGGATTGTTTCCTCTACTTGATTGATTCCCTTTTGTCCTTTTCTTCCTCGACTCCTTGTGACCCCCAACAGACACCATCTACCGTACCTGTCAGCTGTTCCGAAGTCCTTGGCCCCTTCGTTTCTTTCTTATCCACACCCTTATTTCCCCACTAGTTCCTCATCCTCCCTTCTGCCCGCCTCCTTGAAACGTACTAGTGCTGCTAGTTGGATTGGCAGTTATTTTTTGTCGAGCTGCCTGGGCTTACCTGCCTGGTAATCTCCTGTCATAAGTGTGGCTAACGTTAACTCTAGGTTGGATTAGTTCCCAGTTAGACAATTTCCTGAGGTGATGCATATCATTGATGCAGACTTTCCATGTAATCTGGGTGATGACTGGACTCGATATAACCATTCAACCTTCTGTGTTTTACAATTTATGCACAGTAACACCTAGCACTTCGCAAGCCCTATACGTGCTTCCTGTGACTCCGCCCCGTGCGCCCTCCCATTCCTCCCCACTCCCTCCGACCCCTCTTCCGCCACCACTTTTTTCACTCCCGCTTCCGCTAGCACTACCGAGTCCGCATCTGCTTCCGCCACTGTTCCGCCACTGTTCCGCCAACCCCTGCTGCCACCATCCCGCTAATCAGCCTCAGCTGCTCCACTCGCTTCCGCTTCTGGGCCTTCTGCCATATTTCCACCTTCCACCACCGCCTCTTCCGCTCGCCGCTTCGCACTCCCATCACGATCTCGCCTCCTCCTGTCGTTCCCAGGCCAGGGCGTTCCATAGATTTCGCGGCGCGCACCGTTCATTCTCACTTCCACAATCTTTCGTCCTTCCGCACTGTCACCATGTTCCGATCCGCCAAGCGCGTTCTCCTCCCCGCCGCGCGCGCGGCCGCCGGCGTTGCGCGGATCCACGGATCCGCCGCTGCGTCCGCCGAGTCCGCGAGCCTAGCGGAGGCTTACAAGCGCGTAGCGCCGCAGCTGGACGTGCCGTCCACGCCGCTTACTTACCTCAAGGAGCGTCCCGCCTTGTCGGTCGCGATCCCGGAAAAGCTCACGCTTAACCTCTCGCTACCTCACGCTATGCCGTACAGCGCGAAAGAGGTAAGTTACGAGCGGTGAACGCGCTGATGATCGGAAGCGACTACACTAGGCTACGCTGACGAAGTGTACCGTAACCCGTTTAGGGTTTCGCCAGATGCTTTACGCCTGGTTCTGAAACGGGATCGCAGTTCTGATATCCCTTCTACGACGTCTGGCGTGGCTGGAACCAGTTCTGTCTCGAGAGCTCTAGGCTGTAGGCCGCATTAGTTATTTTCGGGATCTACAGTCTCTCATATATGGCGATCCGTTACTTCGAAGGGTGGGTAGTGAGCCCTCGTTAAAGAGCTTATATGAGTGGTAATGTACGGGGTGATCGAGACCACGTCAGTCAACGTCATGCTTCGTCAGGCCAGGACTACGTGTAGGATTCGCAGAGTGTTCGCACATGTCTCTAGTTTTTTCCTAGCGCAAACCTCGTTCTCCTTCCTCCTCCTTGTCCTTCCTCCCAACAAGCTCATTAACCGTCCCCCTGCTCCCGTATGCTTTCCTCTTCATTTCCCTTTTCCTCTTCCCCTTTTTCCTTCCCCCTTCCTCTTTTCCCTTCCCCGTTTCCTCTTCCCCCGCCTTCCCTCATTCCGTTCCCACTTCCCCTTTTTCCTTCCCTGTTCCTCGTTCCACCTCCCTCGCTTTCCCATCTCCCCTCCTCCTTCCCCTTCCCCTTCCGTCCTTTTCCTTCCCCTTTTTCCCCCTTCCCTCCCCCCCTGACCTCTCCCGCTCACGCTTCCCCTCACCCCGTTCCACGCCCAGGTGGACAGCGTGATCATCCCTGCCACGTCAGGCCAGATGGGCGTCCTTCCAGGCCACGTGGCGTCCATTGCGGAGCTCAAGCCAGGCCTGCTGACAGTCATCGAAGGAACAACCGAGACAAAGCTCTTTGTCAGCAGCGGTTTCGCGTTCGTGCACCCCAACAGCGTGCTCGACGTGGCAGCCGTTGATGCGGTGCCGCTGGACCAGATCGACGGCGAGGAGGTGAAGAAGGGCCTGGCTGCGGCACACGCCAAGGTGGCGAGTGCGAGCACTGATTTGGAGAAGGCAGAGGCTCAGATTAGCGTGGATGTTCACAGTGCTCTCAGTGCCGCTCTGGGGCTGTAGATTTGAAGAGAGGGAAGAGAGAGTGAGGTTGCCAAGGAGAATCAAGAAAGGTGGGTATGATGGCGGAAACGGAAAGGACGGGCATGGATGGATGTATATTGATGGGAGGGGAGATTTGGAAAGGAGATTAGGGATGTGTGGTACTTGAATGCTCAAACGAATTCGCTTAACATGTTAGAAGGAACACAAGGTTCCGGATTTACGTGCTGTATCAATTCATGTATATCTCTGGTAGAGTAGAAAGTCTGTAGTAACTTACAAGATTCTCCGCGGGTTGACCTGTATCGATTATGCATGTGTCTGCATTCTATCACAGTAGACGCGTCGGAAAACCATTCATATTTGCCAAGATTCGAATTCACCTTCGCATGCCATTCCAGCTATTATAATCGTCACTGCGAGCCCATGCACTCCAACTCTGCCCATTCTCGCCGTCACCCGCGCGCAACCGCCGCTCTCCTTCTCCCCTCGCCACTCACTCCTCCTCCCGCCATGGCTAGCCGAACGCTGGAGCGAATAGCGCTCGTCTGTTTCGCGACATACACCGCGTACTCGCTATTGTATCGTCCGCAGGAACCATCCTCAGCCGACCGCGGCGCAGTGACAGCAGCGGGGGAGGCTACAGACGCAACGGCAGCGCAGGTTGAGCAACGGTTACCGGCTGTACGAGCGACGGTGGGAGCGATGATGATGCGAGAGACAGCCGAGGGAGGGAAGGGAAACAGCTTCGGTATTAGCGATAATAGCGGCAGCAACAGCAGCAGTAACTGTAGCTGTAGTGCGACTCACGGGTGCTGCTGGTGCTGCGCGGATAGTGTTGAGGCGAGTCCCAGTAGCAGCAGCAGCAGCAGTAGCAGCAGCAGCAGCAGCAGCAGCAGCAGTAGCGCCATCAGCGGCAGTAAATGTGAGTCGTGGGTTCCTCCCTTGGTGGCCAGGTGTCCCTTTAGCTCCCTCCCCTTGTCGCTCTTCCCTCATACCTCACCCTCAACAACACTCACTCACACTCACACACAAACACAAACACACACTCACACACTCACACACTCACCCCCACTTACCCGCACTCACACCCTCAACCTCGCCCCCCCCAGCTTCCTTCCGCAGCCATTCCCTTGCTGCTGGCGGAGCTGGTGCGCGCGCCCCAGGGTCTGCTGAGCACGCTCCCATCATCTCCCCATATCCACACCCGCCCTCACCCTTCCCCCCCCCCCACTCCCCCCTTCCCCCCGCCGGCAGCTATCCCCGCGTTGCTGGCGGAGCTGGTGCGCACGCCGCAAGGCCCGCTGGGCGCGCTGACGTGGCGCAGCAAGGGCGTGCAGGACGCGCCCCCGCCCTCCATGGCCTCGCGCGCTCTCACTCTCTTCGGACAGGTGCTCGTCTGGGGGAATGGGGGACAGGGGAATGGGGGACATGGGAATGGGGAAATAGGGTGGTGGGGGGATGCGAAACCAAGAAAAAAATGGCGATGGAGAAAGTTTTGTTTCGGTTGGATCGGTGTGAGTCGGGGGAAGATAGATGCATATAAGTCTGCTTATACCGAGCCAATTATATCATGCCAAGCCTTGAGTTTGTTTTCTCTTCTCTTTTTTGCCTCACCCTCTCTCCCCTCTTGTGCCTGCTGCTCCGCCACAGACTGCCTCGTTTGAGGACACAAGAGGCAAGATTCTCCGCGTCAGTGTGAGCTGCTGTACTGCCTGCCGTCTTGTTTTTCTCTTCTGCATGTTTCCATGGCCACCGCACGCTCATGTTTGTGCAAGTGAGGTCTGTGTGTGAGTAGGGAAGAGTTTCCGTGCATGCATGTGAGTGTGTTCATTTGCCTGTGTATTTGTCCCTCTCTGCCTTTGTGCATCCATGTGCATGTGCATGTGCATGCATGTGCGCGCTTGCAGATGGGGCAAGGCGTGGTGGTGAATCTGATGGCAACCAAGGCGGGGTCGCGGCGCAGTGGCGACATGCACAACTGCTCCCAGCACGACGTCATCCTCTCCGGCCGCACCGACCTCCACCTCACGGTCTGCATCTCACACACGCCCCCTGCCACGCAGCCTCTCCCACACAGCCCCTGCCACACAGCCCCTGCCACACAGCCCCTGCCACACAGTGCACGCACTAGTAGCACAACCGCTCCCCTTGACATGCACAACTGCTCACAGCACGACATCATCCTCTCAGGACGCACCAACCTCCACCTCATGGTCTCCCCTCTGCCTGCATGCATGGCGCATAAAAAATCCTCACTGCGTGCATACACGCATGCAAGTCACACATTGCCCCTCCAGCTCACAGCCCCTGGTCTCTCCCTCCACAACACCCACACCCTTCTGTGCTTCCGGGTGCACTCTTGAGTGTTTCCTCTTTCGTTGCACAGCTGCCCGTCCCCCCGCATGTCACCCTACACACAGTCTTCTGTTTCTTTTGTTCCTCTACGTATGCATCATGTTTGTTCCAATTCGCGTTGTGTTTGTTCTTGATGTGTGTGCATGTTCATGTGTGGGGGTGGGGAGTGCAGGACCTAGTGAGTGGAGGTGAGGAGGTGAGGGAGTACGATGGGCACCTCAACGTCATCACCATACCCCCACGGTGAAGCTCTTGCACGTGAAGCCCCTGCTTGTGAAACGCCTCCCCACTTTCTGAGTTTCATGTCTGTCTTTTTGCTTCATCTCCATCTCCATCTCCATCTGCATGCCGCCATCTGCATGCCGCCATCTGCATGCCACCATCTGCATGCCGCCATCTGCATGCCGCCATCTGCATGCCGCCATCTGCATGCCACCATCTGCATGCCGCCATCTTCAAACCCACACAGGGTGCCGCACATGTTTCACTTCTTGGAGGACAATCTCACATGTCGGGGTCCGAAGCACCTTGAATAATCAACTTCAAAAGAGATCCGCGTGTATTGAGTCGAGCTTTTAGGCACCTCCAAATTCAACTCTCCATCTGCATGCGTCCATGGTACTCACACCCACACAGGGTACCGCACATGTTCCACTTCTTGGAGGACAATCTCATGATCGAGTGGTGGGACTGTGACTTCCAAGCATGGTACCTTCCCTTCCCTCTCCCTCCAACTCTCTCTCCCTTTCTCTATCCTCCTCACCCCCCTCTCTACTCTCGCTTTCTCTCTCTCCTGCTCTTCCCTACAGCTCACCTCCTTCATTGATATTCACATTCGTCCATCCTTCCCTTCCCCACTCCCTCACTCTCACACCACTACACTCACACGCACAGGATTCAACCGTACGTTCGCCATGTTTGCATGTGTTCGTTCATGCATGTGCCCATGCTGCATGCACACACACACGCACAATCATAAGCCACGTGTATGCGCATGCCCTTTGGATCTCCTTGGCCAGTGCTGGTACCGGTAATTGTTTTCATACGGTAACTGAAGGATCATTAATCAGATTGCGGCACACCTTACCGCCTCACTTCACAGCAATCCTTTCACCGTACCGTATCTGTTCCCGCCCGCCATCCACGCCTTGTGCAGGTACTACCGTCCGTATAGAGACATCGTAGAGGCTTAGCTGGAAACAGGGCGAGGCAAGTACCATACCTGAGGAGGGCGGAGATGAGTTGCTTCAGGCTTTTTTCAGAAGCACCTTCCATCATACCAGGGCTCTGGTTATCAGACCAAATCGGTCTGATGGTCTGAAAATCAGACATACTTTTTTCATTTCATCTGATTTTTTAGACAAGCAATTTTATATCATCTGAACCATAAGACCAAGGTTTTTATTTCGTCTGAAAAAAATGACCAAGTGTTATAGTTCGTCTAACATTTTAGACATCGCGTATGTGTTCATATGATACTGACCAAGTTCGGCACACCCCTGTCAAGAATTGTATTCTTTATATAACTGCATACAACATAGCTAGTGTAGTATCACTTTAGATTTCTCTCTATTTGGTGGTGTACCTCCCTTAGCCACGTTCCCTTACTAAATCTTGTACTTGTGCTATAGTGAAACTCCCTTCTTTCTTGGCCAACTCCCTCTCTCTTCCTAAAACCTAAGTTTCTCCTAAGCCTACTTTCTTGACATGCTATCAGAGCCCTACACGGTCTAAGGACCTAATTTCTCTTAAGAATCATGGGCCCGCCTATGCTACAACGCAAAATGCGCTATATATATGTATATATATATATATATATTCCCGTCCGCCCGTCCACGCTCGCTCTGCCCTGTCGCCGCGGCGCCCCTTATTCCCGTCGCCACGGCGCCTCGCGTTCTCGTCGTCGCGGTGCCCGATTCCTGTTGCCGCGGCGCCCTTGTTCCCGTCGCCGCGAACGCCATCGCCAGGCGCAAGCACGAGCACCAGCGCCCGACGCGGCCGCCAACGCCAGGCGCCAGCGCGGACGCCAGCGCCTGTCGTCAGCGGGGACGCCAGCGCCAGGCGCCTTCACGAGCGCCAGCAGCAGCTCACGCCGCCCCCCCGCCCTCCCTTCCGCGGCTTCCGCCAGGGGGCGGGGGGGGGAGAGATGTGGGGGTGGAGGGTGTGAACCCCCAGCAGCCCGTCCCTCCCTTCCCTCTTCCTCTCTCCTCTGCAGCACTTGTTGCTGTGTGTGGGGGGGGGGGGGGGGGAGGGGGGGAGGAGAGAGGTTAAGGGGGGATGAGAGAGGTTAAGGGGGGACGAAAGAGAGAGAGAGAGATTCTGTTTTCTCGTTTCGTAACGTGTTCTCGTCATTTCTCGTTTCGTTACTATCCATCGTTTCTGGACGTGGTCACCCAGAGTCGCGCACACCGGCACCTGTTGCGGGGGTTCAACCGCAATCGGGCACCTGTCGTGGGGGTTCAACCACGGTCGTTCAAGTTGCGGCACGGTGATGACTGCACTTAGGGTAGAGCGCCCCTCACTGGCTACATTTGTATGCAGTTAAGGGGGGATGTCAAGAATTGTATTCTTTATATAACTGCATACAACATAGCTAGTATCACTGTAGATTTCTCTCTATTTGGTGGTGTACCTCCCTTAGCCACCTTCCCTTACTATATCTTGTACCTGTGCTATAGTGAAACTCCCTTCTTTCTTGGCCAACTCCCTCTCTCTTCCTAAAACCTAAGTTTCTCCTAAGCCTACTTTCTTGACAACCCCCCCCCCCCCTTCAAGCCCCTCACGCCAATCCGAGCTGCCTCCCCACCCCACCCCGCGAAGTCACTTGCTCGTTCCTATACCAGCCCTGTCATAATCGTAGGCTAAAGTGAAGTCGACTATCGAGGGGGTTGGTACAAAGAAAAATGAACCTAAGGGGTTGTACCCCACAGTGTGTACCCCACTAAGCCTACCCAAACTATAACATTCATATGCATATGTTTGACACACCCCCATAGGCAGAGTGGGGGAGAACAGAGGGTCACAAGACCAGTCAGGAAGTGCAAAGCAAGCTCAGGGTGGATCACAACGTCACCACGCAGTCTGAGCACAAGCAAGAAGGCCACAAGGCCAGTTCACATGCAGAGATATATATGTAACAACAACAGTACAGTGAAATCTACCTACAAGAACAAGCATGCAGGAATACATATAAACCATGGTACAAACAAAGCCTACAGCAAGTGAGGAAGCCTAACAAAGTGCAGAAACGCTGATGATCACCAGGCGGAAGTGCCTTGGTGAATATATCAGCAATGTTGGCCCGAGTGGCCACGTAGGTAAGACGAAGGTGGCCACGCTGCTGCAGCTCTCGAGCAAGAAAGTAACGGAGAGCGATATGCTTCGTTCTGTGCTCTAGTCTGTGCTCCTGACACAAGGCAATGGCGGCCTTGTTGTCGACGTACAGCACTGGAGGAGAACGAGGCCGCTCTCCCAAGTCAGTCAGCAGGTAGGTGAGCCAGCGAAGCTCCTGTGCAGCCATGGCTGTGGCGTAGATCTCAGCCTCGCAACTGGAGCCGAGAACTGAAGACGAGCGTGTAGAACGCCAAGAAACTGAACCAGAGCCAAGGCTGAAGGTGTAACCCTGTGACGACCGCTGCGTAGCCTGGTCGTCAACCCAAGAGGCGTCCGAGTGACCAGTGAGGACAACGTCACCCCGTCCTCCAAGCACGAGCCCCATGCCCGATGTACTGCACAAGTAGCGTAGTACCCTCTTGGCAGCATCCATGTGCACCTTTCGGTGCCGACCAGGAGCCACGTAGCGAGCCAGAAGGCCAAGAGGGTACGCAAGGTCAGGACGAGTGCAAGTCATCAGGTACATGAGGCAGCCTACTAACTCTGGGTAAGGACCACTCGGCTCTACGGACTCGTCCGAAGGTGGAGCTGAGAGCGAGTGACCTGTAGCCAGAGGAGTGGCCTGTGCTGAGGACCAGGTGAAACCGAAGCGCTGAAGGACCTGCTGCACCATGTGTGACTGAGTCAGTGTGATGGTGCGGCGTGCTCTGTCCCGGGTGATCTGCAAGCCAAGGTAGCTGCGCAGTTCACCCAGGTCTGTGCACGTGTGTCTCTTCTGCAGCTCCGACTTCACCAGGGCGAGAGCCTCAGTGTCAGCAGTGGCAAAGACCAAGTCGTCGACGTACACGAGGATGTAGAACGGCGGCAGCGAAGTGTCGGTGCGCAAAAACAGCGACGGGTCAGCAGTCGACGGAGCAAACCCAAGAGCCGCAAGTGTCGTCCTCAGTGTGTCGTGCCACTCACGTGGCGCCTGGCGGAGACCGTAGACCGGCCGCCGGAGGCTCCACTGGGTACCAGGAGGGAACGACCCAGTGAAGCCAGGAGGGCGGCGCAGCCAAATCTCCTCATGCAGGCTGCCCTGTAAGAAGGTTGTGCTGAAGTCAAGAGAGTGAAGCTCGTAGTCACGCTGAGCGGCAACGTGCAGCAGCACCCGAAGAGTGGTCATCTTCGGGGTGGGGGAGAAGGTCTGGAAGAAGTCAACTCCCTCTCGCTGACTGAAGCCTCGAGCCACGTACCTAGCCTTGAAGACAGGCGGAGAACCTGGCGGCCGCTTCACCCTGAAAATCCACATGCCACTGACAATGTTCGCCCCAGGAGGGGGAACCTCGTCGACGTAGGTGCCTGTGGACTTCCAGGATGCCATCTCTGCGTCCATGGCTGTCTGCCACTGAGAGGAGTACTCACCCGCGATCACCTCAGCGTAAGAGCGCGGGGTAGGGATGTCTGGTGCATCCGGGTCTCCCTCATGGGCAAGCAGCATGGATACGAGATGAGGCGCAGCGGCTGCAAGACACTCAAGGTCCTCCTGCCTGTCCTCAAGGACGTCCGTGCCAAGAGCACACTCACCCCCGACGGATGGAGGACAGACAGACGCAGACTCAGCAACAAGACTGGCGGCGTAGTCTAGACGACAGTGAGCAGCAAAGGCAACAAGCTCAGTGACTAAGGCAGACGCAGTAGCAGACTCAAACGACGGGTCAATGACAACAGTGGCAAGCAGACGCGTGGCAGTAGAGTGCTCAGCACGAAACCGGTCAGACGCAGGGTCAGCAACGATAGGCAGAGAGGACGCAGGGGGAGGCGGCAGAGGAACACGTGGTGAAGGAGAGGAAGGACGACGAACTACAAGGGGAGGGCCGGAGACAGCCGGCTGGCACTGACGAGGAACACGACGACCGGAACTGACAGGGGAGACAGGATGCGACTCAGGCTCACGACGCTCTGCAAGGCCACCAGGCTGCTCTGTGTACGGAGAAGGAGCAGGCAGCGGTGAGCCAGGCTGTAACGGAAGACCAGTAGACGAGGGAAGACTGAGAACCTGGCGAAGTGCAGAGTCAGGTGGTGGCTGAGACGACGGAGACGGCGGAGCAAAGAGCAGGCGCGGCTGAGCAGTGCCACCAGCAGCTCCAGCACCTCCAGCAGCTCCAGTACCCCTAGCAGCTCCAGCACCTCCAGCAGCTCCAGCAGCTCCAGCACCTCCAGCAGCTCCAGTACCCTCAGCAGCTCCAGCACCGCCAGTAGCTCCAGTACCTCCAGCAGCACCACCACCAGCCCCAGCAGCTCCAGTACTCCCAGTACGAGCACCTCCGGGACCAGCGACACCAGCAGAAGAACCTCCAGCAGGAGAGCCCTGAGGTGCAGAGGTGGGACGCCGACGGCGACCGTACCAATTGTGCAGCTGCTGGGAGGTGAGGGGCACACGCGGACGAAGACGGCTACACCAAGGAGTCTCAGAACCCTCAGGCAACTCACCCCCAGACTCAGCACTCCCAGGCTCCGCACACACAGGCTCAGCACCCCCAGACGCAGCACCTCCAGAGGCAGTACCCCGAGACGTAGCACCTCCAGGCTCCACACGCTCAGCGCCCCCAGACTCAGCACCCCCAAGCTCCGTATCCCCCGGGACAGCACCACTCGCAGCAGGACCGGAGTCACCAGTGACCTCAACAGGCGCAGGCGCAGGGGGGTTTACCTGAGAGACACCTGAAGGAGCAGGACCTGGCGCGGGGAGGGGGTCTACCTAGGGAGGACCTGGGGCGAGAAAGAGCGGCGGGGGGGGGGGCGAGGAGCAGTGCGGTAGGGGAAGAGGCGGTAAAAGGGGACGGACTCGTCAAACGTGACGTCCTGAGACGCAAAGACA